CTACACTCTGTACACACTGACAGTCACACACTCAATGAGAAACACACAGACGTCACTGACAGACACAGACTCATTGATCTGACATACACTCTGTACACACTGACAGTCACACACTCAATGACACACACAGACGTCACTGACAGACACAGACTCATTGATCTGACACACACTCATTCATTGACACTGACAGACCCACACTGATTGACACTCATTGACAGACACACTGATAGTCACACACAGACTCAATGACAAACATACTCTCACTGATTTGACAGACACACACTCATACACTGACAAATACACTCATCATACACTGACAGACACACTCATACACTCACATGCACACACACTCATACAATCACTCACAGACACACAGACAGTCACTCACTCACAAACACACACTGTCACTCACAGACACACACACAGAAGCACACAGTCACTCACAGACACACACACACACTGTCACTCACAGACACACGCTCAGTCACTCAGACACACACACTCATACAATCACTCACTCACACACACTCAGTCACTCAGACACACATGCTGTCACTCACAGACACACATGCTGTCACTCACAGACACACATGCTGTCACTCACAGACACACATGCTGTCACTCACAGACACACATGTTGTCACTCACAGACACACACAGTCACTCACAGACACACGCTCAGTCACTTAGACACACACACTCATACAATCACTCACACACACACTGTCACTCACAGACACACGCTCAGTCACTCTGACAGCGTGTGTGTCTGTGAGTGACAGTGTGTGATTGTATGAGTGTGTGTGCATGTGTGTGTCTCTCACAGACACACACAGTCATTCATGGACACACACACTGTCACTCACAGACACACACAGACACACGCTCAGTCACTCACAGACACACACACACAGACACACACACTGTCACTCACATACACACACATACACACACATACACACGCTCAGTCACTCACAGACACACACACTGTCACTCACAGACACACACACACAGACAAACACACTGCCACTCACAGACACACACACAGACACACCTGTCGCTTACAGACACACACACAGACACACACACTGTCACTCACAGACACACACACACAGACACACACACTGTCACTCACAGACACACACACACAGACACACACACTGTCACTCACAGACACACACACAGACAGACAAACACACTGTCACTCACAGACACACACACACACTGTCACTCACAGACACACACACACACACAGACACACACTGTCACTCACAGACACACACACAGACAAACACACACAGACACACACACTGTCACTCACAGACACACACAGACACACACACACAGACACACACACTGTCACACACACACACACACAGACAAACACACTGTCACTCACAGACACACACAACACACACTGTCACTCACAGACACACACACACAGACAAACACACTGTCACTCACAGACACACATCACATACATTCACTAATAATTTTATAAATAAACATTTTCCACCCAGCCTCCCTACCTGGAGAGCTGGTGTGGATGATGGATCTGTCCCTGGGGCTGCTGAGAGGCGCGCGGCAGTGCTGTGATCAGGTGCGCGAGGGAGCTCTAATCTCCATCCTCTGCTCCCTCGCGGGCTGCCTACTGATGACGTCATATTCCGGCTCCCGCGGCATCAGTAGGCAGCGCGCGAGGGAGCAGAGGGTGGAGATTAGAGCTCCCTCGCGCGCCTGATCACAGCACTGCCGCGCGCTGCGCCGGGGGTCGAGATGGTGGCCTGGCAGGAGGGAGAGCTTCCCTCCTGCCGGTCACTGAAATATTGCGCCCCCAGAGCCTGTGCGCCCTAAGGCGGCCGCCTGTGCCGCCTTATGGACGCGCCGGCCCTGCTTACAGCCATGCAAGCAGAGTAATTTATTTATTTATTACTGGCAATTATAAAGTGACAACATACAATTAGGGGAGAACGTACAATATACATAGAGCAATACAAAAGATAAACAGGGCCCTGCTTGTGAGCTAAGATCTAGCCATTGAAGCTTGTTTTGCTTGGTTAGATAGCCTGTGAGCTTATAATCTAAAAAATAATGAGGATAGATAAAAAGAGAGACAAAAGAGCCATTAGGGACAGGTAGAGAGACAAAAGAGGGTTCATAAGGAGACACAAATGTTTTTTTAGGATTTGGCGAGAGACAAAAGGGTTGTTAGGGAGATGAGGAGAGAGAAACATAGGGGTTAAGGGAGATAGCAGAATAACATGGCAAGTTTGGGGGTACAGGACATAGGACTGCAGGGGTTAAAGGTGTGACTTCTGGATCCGCTCCATTCAAGTCACTGATTACATTCGGACCTCCCGAACGTGCTACTCGGGAGGCAGACACATGGAAAGTTGTTATGGGCTGAAGGACGGATGCTGCACACTCCCTCCGTCTCTCTGCTTAGGTTAAAAAAAAGGCATTGCATTATATTCTGCCACAGAGATTCTACGTCATCCCTGCAACCTCATTCCTGCACTTTTTGTGGTTACAAGGGTGACGTGAACAAAATAGAATGTTCCTTGGTGCTAAAATAAAGATTTAGCCCCATTTACACTGCCCTGTTGTGGTTCTTGATTAGTGCGTTTTTCTTGTCTACTTTGATTTTCTGGTTATAAACTTGGCTTGTTTACTCACTCTGTGTTTTTCTGTATTCCTGACCTCAATTTACCTACTTGACTTTCCATACCTCTGTTGTCCTGATCTTGGCTACTTAACGTTTACGATTATTTTCTCTACTTTTGTTTAGTCTAGCCATTCTAAGGACCGGTGATACACTTGATCATTTCTTTAGCTACTGATCTATGTTCCGTGTTGTATGTTTGGTGTATAGATGTTTATTGCATTTTGATATGGGTTAAACCCCAGGAGGTTGAAGAATTCAGCAATGTCCCTGCCATTATGTAGTGTGCTGACAGCATGCCAACAACAGTAAAGCACAAGAAACTCAAAATATTAAAATATTAAATAATTTTCCATCCATCGATTTTACTAGCACTCGATGGCACAATATATAGCTGAAATATTATTCTCCATAAAAGTCTTCCTGGTTGCGACAGGGGGCTCTTTAGAAAGCTGTTCAAATCTTCAAACTAATTAGTTATACAATCTGATTTTTGAGTATAAATGCCTATTATGTTTCTGTAGGGATTATTTGATGATGCGTCAGTAAGATTAACGTGAGAATCTAGGTGACTCTGTTAGGCCATTTAAATTGTTGGTAGACATGCCATCACCCTTTGTCAGATGTTACAACATAACACCAATTACTATTTTTAAAACATTGCAAAAGACTTGAGGTATGTATGCTATTTAACCAGTAAAAACTTGTATGTGTTTTACAATGACCTGGAAATAAATAATTACAGTTCTCAGGACCATGAAAACTCATAATTTAAATACTACAGCATTTTGTATTTATTTTGTATACATTTTCCAGGTACAGAACTCTTTTACGGAACACTGTAAACCCTTAAAGCACTTGAGGTTGCCGAACTGCTTTTACGGGTTATCAGAGTGTTCTGTCTTTTGTACTTTATAAAAGTGCCAATATTAACACACTAAGTTAAGCAGCTTGGACGCTATGTGATGCATTGCCAGCTCAGAGCGTTCACGCCTCTTTCTCCCACTTTAAGAATTATCCTATTCCGTCTTTACACAACCCAGCCCACCTAAGGAATCCTATTGAACATAGTGAGTTCCTGCATGATGAATTTGAAAATGTCATCTTTGAAATTAAACCAGATTACATTTCGGCGTTGTTAACACTGACGAAGTTTAGTGATACCTCACTTTTGAGTTTAATGGGTTACTTCAAGCACCATGACCACTTCAGTGATTTGAAGTCGTAATGGTGTCTGGATTTGAATGTAAAGGGCTTCGCTTTGAAACAGACTAGACATAGACATTAACCTCTCTGCAGCTGGAGGTGTTTCTCCACAAAGCTCTAGGATGGCTAATGACAGTTCTGTGCAAAATTGGCATCTGACCCCTGAACGTACAGCATGCTGGCAAGTGGTGGAAACCCCCCCACTGCCCTCTCCCAGCGAACGGGAATTACAACAGCCAAAGAGGATCGAGCTGAGGGGAGAACTTGGACTCAGTGATGGAACAGGGGTAGGTTTTAGCATTTCTTATACTATAGATTTATTTTTTATTTTTTTTACTTTTTTGGGGGGCAAGGCGGGGCAGACCACAACTATGAACTGAGAGAACATCATGAGTGCCAGGGTGTAAGTTCAGCCAGGAATATCGTAAAAAAAGTGATTAGACAACTCGCATTCCCACACAATACACGGCCCCGCATACCGGACAACTGATCTAGCTGTCTTGATGTAGGGCATTAATCAGCTATTTTTATCTCTGATATTCTCACAATCCTCAAAAAGTGCATTTATGTTAAAAAGTATGGTATTTTAATAAACGCAGGATATTTTTGACAATGCAAGAGGGCTTTCCCAGTGTGCTACTCATGGGCATTCACGCCAACCAATTCAGGTTGGTAACGGGGAGGGCGGTGGGGTTCGATCCAGCATACGGCACGCATTCCTAGCACCACTACCTTTTTGGGCACCTGCTGTTGTGATTTGTCACCAATAACACACACTACGCTACTCACAGACTAGCCCCTGTCCATCAGGTTACCAGGAGACGGCTAGAATTATACATGTTGGCAGACAGCCCATCATTGGAAGAGGTGTCCTGCAATGTGTGAAATTCAAACCATTTAAATGATAAATACTGCAATACAGCACTTTTCATGGGCTGCTCATTGATGTCAAATATGATGTGTGTCCAGGAAAATATGGTGCATCTGATAACCCCACTCCCATTATAACTTCATATCTCCCAATATTTTATTAAAAAAATAAAATAAAAAACTGAGGGGAATGCTATTTAGCCCTTGCCATTGTGATAACCATTGACTCATAGCACTATTTTCATTATAATGACATGAGAACATGAAAGACTACAAGTCCCGGCATGCCTTTCGGCGTCCATGCGTCGCCAAGGTGGGCGTGGCTTGCCGTTTGTCCCTCGCGGCTCGCCGTACGATTCCTGTTTCCTGTCGGCAGTGGCTGCGTCCTTATTGCGGTAACTATAATAGTATTTCATAAAACGCGGCTGGTAGTAAATAAGGCGGAATGTGGGCTCAAAAACTCATCCTGGGGATATGTAACAGCTTCAACTCCCATGATGCATTGTCAACAGTCAGGGTGGCAAAGCATCATGGTAGTTGTAGTTCTAGGAAAGCTGGGGAGCTCCCCTTTGTTTATTTAAAGCTAAATCAGCTTTATTAGCTATTCTTGGATCAAGTGTATCCATGGCAACCTAGCCAGCCAGTAGTAGCAGCCTAGTAGCCCTTTAACCCTGACAGTGCCATGTGGGCCCCTGAGAGCCCTTTTCTGGTACCAAGGGCTGGTAGATCTACTCTGCTTTCCTGGACACCATCACTATTGCCTCATGGTGTTGGGCAGAGCATGAAAAGTGCTGCATGGAACCTCAGTGATTACACACAGCGCATTTTAATTCTGAATACTACAGGGCATCACTTTTCCTGGGCTGCCCATCACTATTTGAAATTCACTGTGACCCTGATATTTGATTTGCCAACTGCAATATTTTTAATTATTGTGAATAGCCGCATCTGTATGACTTAAGACTAACATACCCCTGTTTGTTTTTGTTTAACTGTTGGTACCAAATTGTTTACAGGGCTATTCGCTACAGGGAGTTTAAAAAGAATTTTACAGCTACAGGAACAATATAGTGTCAGGAATACAAACCCGTAGTTCTAATATCACTATTTAGGTCACCGCCCCTCTAACCCCAGCAGGAAAGTGAAAGTGTTAAAACTTACTTTTATTCCAGAGCCGCGCTGGTCTGATCGCGGCTGGCCCCTCTCTGCTCCTTGGCTGAGATCATCAAAATTGACAATCTCAACCAATCCAATACTGGGAAGCTATAGTGCATGCGTGGCAAAACACCTCTTTGCGCCAATCAGTATTTCCTCATAGAGATGCATTGAATCCATGCATCTCTATGGGAAATGTTCAGCGCCTCCATTCGAAAAGGCAGTGTTTACATGAAAAAGTTTTCAGGGACATACTATACACAAAGTTTTCAGGGACATACTATACACACCAGAACAACTACCTTAACCTGTAGATGTTCTGGTGACTATAGTGTCTCGTTAATGTGACTATGTTTACATTTGTTGTTGTTTTGTCTTTGTTATTTTTATGTTTTTGTCTAATATTTAAAATTCACTTTGAATTCACCAGATTCCACACTTTAGTGTTACCCTGATATTTGAGTTGTTGTGTTAGTGCTATAAAGTCGATGTAAAATAATGAAGTATTGCAGTTTCTTAGTCCAATAAAAAGATGTTAAAATAAACTGCAACAGTTTATTATTGTAAATAACCGTGTCTGTTTGACTTGACTGCCTTCATATATGCTTTTTAATCCGTGTGAATTGATGATTAAATGAACTCTCGCCCTGAACTAGTTTATTAATAGCTATACTAGTAATCATATATTAAATCAACTGCTGAATGGCAAAATTAGAGCCAAAAATCAACATGTTTGGGGGGGTTAATGGGAGAATTTCTATTTTTTTCAGTTAAGTTAGTCTTGTTATGTTTGTTTTTTTAATTTGGTTGTCAGTGGGCCACAATCAGCTGTTCAGTCCCCTAAGATTAATTGTCCCGTTGTTCTACATGTCATTTGTGTTTTGTTTTTTCGAGCTATTTTTGAACGTCTAACTTCTCTGCTTTACAGGAATCATGTCTATGTCACATCTGTACGGCAAAGATGAAGACAGTGATGGAGTGGAGATGGAGAATTTTGAGATCACCGATTGGGATCTAGCCAATGAGTTTAACCCCAACCGCCGGCGGCACTTTCAAACAAAAGAAGAGACAACTTATGGCATATGGGCAGATAGGGACTCTGATGATGAGAGGCCTAGCTTTGGTGGAAAGAGGTACGTTCTCTTGTAATGTGCAGTTACAATGGATTTAAGTTGTCAAACAAACGAACGAAAGGGCAGTTTCTCTGCGGTAATAAAATGCACCTATAAATAAGCAGGATAATTTCGGAAAAGCAATCTATATAATTTACAAAAATATCCATCAGTAATCTATATACATATATATGCAATATAATTGCCAAATCACTTATCAGTAAGTCCAAAGAATGGGATAACCATCTGGAAAATCACAAATCTGTATTGGAGAAAAATTTACAATAGAGCATCATATCTGCTAAATATTGAACTGCCTTCACCTTCCCCCTGGTGAGTATTGCCCTTCCCCATTGTTGAGACAATCACTCTTGTCCCACGGTATAGTCGCTTAAACAGTTCTCCTGTTCCTTTGATGTAACCTGTAATTGCTGCTTGCAATAGCGTAATATCACCAATCTAGATCTGTTCACCTTTTGTGTGGACATGCAGTCTACCCCATAGAATAGCCCAGGATGAGAACCATGGTATACAATCAACTTCTTTATTCTATTCACAAAACATGTATAAAAACCTGAATTTGCGATCCTTAAATTGCATTCTTTCTTCATTTGGCATCCAGTGGCATCCCGAGAGAATGTTCTCATATACACTTCCTTTCGTACTTTGTTCGGGTTACATCACCGCTTCAAAGAATAGACAGTCTAGGCACTAGAAAGAAAGTCTGATTTAAATAGTATTTCAATATTGCTTTAAAATTTCTATAGTTGGATACCTTCATATAGCATTCATTGATTGTTTCTATAAATAAGGTTTGAATATTGTTTGTAGTGTTTTTATGCAACACATAGTTTAAATGGACTCTCTAGTATTAGAAATAAATCTATTAATTTCTAACATTGGAATGTTGAAAAGTTCATTTAGTTTTGGGCCATCCCCACAATGTCCTAAAAAAGCTTTGATTTACTTCTGATCCAGTGGCGATACTGTTGCCCCGATGCAGCTCTGCTTCACTATCGGGAGATCATCGCTTGTCATGATCCTATCAGCTAATCCCATGCCCCTTAAAGAGAAGCATTGGGACACAAGACACATTGGTGGAATTCACCACAATTTATTCACCACAAAAGATTCACATGGAAAAGCATTGCAACAAGTGCTCCTCTATGAAAAGCCCTCACCTCCACTCTGCGAGAGAACTCAGTGAGTGAGGAAGAACATTATAAGAGCTTTATGCAGGGATGTGTGGGAAGGAAAAAAAAAGTTCAAGGGACTAAACCAGCAGCCCATCAACTTGTCCTGACACACAACATTTTTGCAACCCCTTAAGGACCAAACTTCTGGAATAAAAGGGAATCATGACATGTCACACATGTCATGTGTCCTAACCCCTTTAGGACACATGACATGTGTGACATGTCATGATTCCATTTTAAAGCCGAGTGGAAAAACGGATGTAAAAAAAAAATAAAAAAAAAAAAAGCTGATTTGGAAAAATTCTTAATATTTAACTTTCCTGCCTCCTTTTTTTTATTTAATGTGCATAACCCTGAGTGTACATCCCTAAAGATCTCTATGGTATGTGTTTTTGTGTGTCCCTATCTGGTGTGTGCTGGCTGTGTATAGTGTGTGGATGCGGTGCACGTATGTGGATGTAGTGTGTGTAGAGGATGTCTGTAATGTGTGTCGATGTAGTGTGTGCAATGTGTGTGGAGGATGTCTGTAATGTGAGGGGGTATAGTGTGTGCAGTGTGTATGGAGACTGTCTGTAATGTGTGAATGTGGTGTGCGACAATGTGTGTGTTGGCTGTGTGTAATGTTTGTTGATGTAGTGTGTGGAGGCTGTCATATGTGTGATATAGTGTGTGGAGGCTGTCTGTAATGTAAGTGGATGTTGTGTGTGCAGGTGTATGGAGGCTGTCTGTAATGTATGTGGATGTAATGTGTGTGGAGGTGGTCTGTAATATGTGTGGATGTAGTGTGTGCAATGTGTGTTGGCTGTCTGTAAAGTGTGTGTTGGCTGTCTGTAATGTTTGTTGATGTAGTGTGTGAGTGTGTGCAATGTGTGTGGAGGCTGTCTGTAATATATGTGATATAGTGTGTGGAGGCTGTCTGTAATGTAAGTCGATGTTGTGTGTGCAGGTGTATGGAGGCTGTCTGTAATGTATGTGGATGTAATGTGTGTGCAATGTGTGTGAAGGCTGTCTGTAACGTATGTGGATGTAGTGTGTGCAATGTGTGTGTTGGCTGTCTGTAATGTATGTAGATGTACCAAATAGTGGCAGCATTCACTCAGTCAGAGCACAGCCACCAGGATTCCCAGCCTGAGCTCAGACACATTGGTGAGCAATTACTATGGTCCTCTGGGGGTGCATGCCACACACTTTCTGCCCCTACCTCCTTGTACACCGGTGGCAGCTCTGCCGCCTACCCATGTCAGAGCCAAAAGCCCCAAATTATCTGCTGCCAAGCCCTGGAACTACATGTGTTGGTTATAAAAGTTCAGATTTCTATAAAATAAAAAAGAGAGGATCTTCGGTTAACACCTGAAGCACTCCAGCAGGCTTACTTTCTTTATGGGTCTGGAGTATTCTTTTAACCGCTCTGTGTATTTTGCAGGATGAGGTAGATGTTTTAATGTGACTGATTCTGTTTCGTTTTCTCCTATTTAGATCCAAAGACTATTCTGCTCCAGTTAATTTTATCAGTGCTGGGATCCGCAAGCCTGCAGCGGAGGAGAAATCTGGAAGTGATTCAGATGAGGAACCTCCGTCAAGAAGGGATGAATTCCCAAAGGAATTTGAAACAAAGAAACTGAAAACGGTAAGTTGTTGTAAAGAGGGCTAGATTGTGACATCGTATGTAGAAAGTGCCATATTCCTTCTCTACTGGGACGGAAATCTTTAAAACTAATCACATTTTTTTATGTGCTTTCTGTTTGTTTTGCAGGGTGGAAATTTTAAACCATCACAGAAGATTTTTGCTGGAGGAATAAAGTCCAATACAGATTTTGGTTCTTGGGAGCGACACACCAAGGGGATTGGCCAAAAGCTTTTGCAGAAAATGGGTTATAAACCTGGTAGAGGATTGGGGAAGAATGCTCAAGGTACGAACAGAGGAGAAGTTTTTACTGTAATTGCTCTTTCATTGACAGCTAATCCTGCACTTTCCCAGTGCTGACCTTTTTTGGTTTTGTTTCCATTAAATGACGTACTATCCAATGCATATTGAAACAAGAAAAATTAATTTAAACATTACTTTTCAGAACACCCATTCTGTCTGTGTTTATTTATTTATATTTTGGGGAAACCACTTGGTAGTGAAATTCTAATTGTCTTTTTGCGCAGGTATCATTGCCCCTATCGAGGCCAAACAGAGGAAAGGTAAAGGAGCTGTTGGAGCATACGGGTCCGAGAGAACCAAGCAGTCATTAAAGGATTTCCCTACTGTAGATTCAGAGGAAGAAGAAGAGAAGGTGCGTGTAAAGAACTAGTTTTTAGTGTAGTATGTGCACCCTTTATCCTGTATGGTCGAAGGATCACCCCTTTAAGCCATGTTCCATAGGTACTTTGGTTTTAATGCAGACCATAAAATATGTGAGTCCTTTGAGACTATAGGATGATTTAAAGTTGGTACTAGAACAGTGGTTATATAGATGCAGCAATCTGCTTTACATTGCATGAATATTTATAGTAAGTATTAGGGATATGCCGACTATTGTTGAACAATCCACTTTTATGTACTGTGCTGTCTAAGAGTAATTGGAGCTTTGCTAAGTAACAGCATTGTAGATTCAAGGATAACAGTAACCACAGTATGAACTGACTGCCTGAAATTGATAGGAGTGTTTTCCGTCGACATATTCTGTTAATGTCAGACTTGTGTAGTAATTGTGTTGCTTTTTCACAACTTTAAATGTACAGAATATCAGTACCAGTTATCGGCAGTCAACCGAAAGGCAACCAATAATCTGTATCAGCATCGGCTCTGAAAAAACGATGTCAGTCAATTCCTAGGAAGTTTGTATTTTTGCAAGTTGCTTATTTTTAAAAGCAATAAAAAGGGCTTAATAGAGTATAGATTTAAATGCACTTTATGAGTTTCCCAGCACTGAAAGACATTCTTCTGGGCTTGGGACATCCCTTCCTCATTGCATGCCCCAATTATTAGTGCAGCTAAGCATATAGAGTCCTTGCACTACAATAGGATGATAGCAGTCCTGGTAAAAGAGATGTTCTTAATATTTTACTCTAATTTGCAGGAATTTCAGAAAGAGTTGAGTCAATGGAGGAAGGATCCAAGTGGAGGCAAGAAAAAACCTAAATATGCCTACAAGACAGTGGAAGAGCTAAAAGCCAAGGGCAGGGGAACTAAATCATTATCCGTTCCTCAGAAGGAAATATCCCAAGTCAAGGTAAGTTGGGGACAGATGGTCTCATGATTCTCATTCTAATTGTGTAGATGCGGTATAGATTACATTTTCTTCAACTGCTTATTTATCTATTAATTAGCAGGCGAGTGAATTAAATGCAGTAGCTTGTGCCAAAAGAAAAACTCTCTAAAAAGTAACTTGCTTTCTTTGGAAGGTTTAATCTGAAACAAATGGCTTTTATTTATTTCACATCTAGTGTTATTTTACAGCTAGTGAGTAGGCCCGATAATCTCAGGGTTATGTGTTGTCTGAAAAAATAAAAACTATATGGATTCCTGAATAATTATGTGTGTGCATGTATGTAAAACCAAAACACTTAATCCTGTTCCCAGAGACTGCAGACGCACTAAGAATAGACTCATCTGTATATGAGGTAGCAATGTGTGATCATTTGGAGATAATTCAGTTATCATTTACTAAAAGATTTAGAACATAGCATATATGTGCCAAGTTATCCGTCTTCCTTTGTATATGCATTATTTTAATTTTTAAGTGAAATTCCTATGGCTGAGTAAAATGTTACATTGCAAACGGTTTGTCAAAGGACCCACCAACAGGCATTTGAGGATTAACCTAACTGTATACATGTTTAAATAAAACAGACAACTACTGATTATCTGCTGAATATTGTGACGTACCTCTTTGATGGTGGACCTAAGGGTCAAATTTGAGTCATGGTTAAAGGATTCTGAAATAGTCAATGCACTGAACATTTCATGAGCAAGGCCATAGTGATGGTTTTATATGTATTTCTTCTTTCAGGTGATTGATATGACCGGTCGGGAACAGAAGGTGTATTACAGTTACAGCCAGATTTCCCACAAACACAATATGCCGGAAGATGGCTCTGTACCGGGTGTGAAGGAGGAGAAGCTCCAGGGCTTTGTTCTTCCAGAGCTGGAGCACAACCTGCAGCTGCTGATAGACATGACGGAGCAGGAGATAATTCAAAATGACCGTCAGCTGCAGTATGAGAAGGACATGGTGATCAACCTCGCTCACGAGTTGGACAAATTGTCTGGGGTCCTTGAGCGAGAGGAGAAGGCCATTTATAACCTAAGCCAGGTGCTACAGACAGTGGAGGCTTGTGAGCAAAGGATGCAACCAAATTGTGATAATCCTTTGACGCTTGACGAGTGTGCTCGGATCTTCGAGATGCTCCAGGAAAAGTATTATGAGGAGTATAAAATGTCTGGGAGGGCAGACCTGGCTGTGGCCATTGTCTACCCACTAATGAAAGAGTTTTTCAAGGACTGGAACCCATTGAAGGTAAGTGTTAAGAATTGAATGACTCTTTGGATATGTGTAAGCAGCCAGCAGAAAAGGAGATCCTGGTTTCTTGGTTCCTGCTTACCGCATGTTTTATTGGCCTTAGGATTTCCCTTCGTAGCTCTTGGCGTGTGTAAAAACTATTTATGCAGTTTATTGTCCATTGGCTGAAGGAAAAGGAAGACTCCAGATAAGCTACAACAAAGTTTCTCAACTGTGCGATATCCATGATAAGACACATATAGTTATATCACCAGGTTACATTCTCTTACCAAGTAGCATTTTTCTTGTCTTCGTATTCAGTTCTGTTTTATTTCTTTTCACTGTTTAGGACCCCATGTATGGGATGGACATCATGACGAAGTGGAAGAACCTGCTAGAGGAAGGCCACCTGTCGCATAGTGCCCAAGATGCAACCTTAGACCCTTATCACAGGTATCTGCATTATCTCATCTTTCCTCAAAATTCATATATTCTGCTATTCTCCAAAGGTCAGGCACTCATTTATTTTTGTAGTTAAGAAGATACCTTTTTTTTTGTAAATATTGGAGTTTTCTAAAGGCTATTCACTCAACTTGAACAGCTGGAGATATAAAGAAGTTGGAGACATTTTCCAGTTTTGTAATATTTTTTAATCCCTCATAATTTTTACACAATTCCCAACTCAGTGAATACACCTTGCTGCTTTTCTCCTGCAGTTGGCATTGCAGTGTACCCTTGTGTCCACCAGCCTCCTATTCTTTATACCCCCATCTTCCTCCCCTAATTATGAAGAGAAATGTTAAGTAATCAGGGCCACTTATAAACCAACTTTTTCCAAGCGTGGGGTTAGCTCACGCTGCGATAACTGTCCTGCTATTTGTGCTGCCAGTATTTGTGAGGAAATACTCACTAGGGAAAATCCTGCTGGCTTCAAGCTGAATTAAACAGATCCTTTTTCTTTGTTAAGGCTCCTTTGGGAAATGTGGATTCCCTTCTTGAGAAATATCATCTCCCAGTGGCAGCCCCGGAACTGCCCTCCTATGGTAGACTTCTTGGACAGCTGGGTGCACCTCCTGCCTGTCTGGATTCTGGATAACATCTTAGATCAACTCATATTCCCTAAATTACAGAAAGAGGTGAGTTTTCTTACTGATCACAGGAGCAATGAAGAATTAAACCATATGAATTGGTTGCAGCAAACTGTAATTTTGTAGAGGGGGGCGATTTCCTTAGGTCACATTCTTGTGTTCTTCTGTTAAGGTTGAGAATTGGAACCCTCTGACAGACACCGTTCCCATTCACTCATGGATTCACCCGTGGTTACCCTTGATGCAGAACCGACTAGAGCCCCTCTTCTCTCCAATCAGAAACAAACTAGCCAACGCTTTGCAGAAATGGCATCCCAGCGACTCATCTGCTAAACTCATTCTCCAGCCATGGAGGGATGTATTCAGCCCAGGATCATGGGAAGCTTTTATGGTGAAGAACATTGTGCCTAAGTTAGGTAAGGAAACATAGTTGTGTTCTGCGTGTCTGCACACCATAATTATATTTATATTGTTACTAAGTGTATTCTCCCGTGCTGTCATCTGCAGGTTTGTGTATAGGGGAGTTTATTATTAATCCCCACCAGCAACACATGGACGTCTTTCACTGGCTGATGGACTGGGAGGGAATGATATCCCAATCCAGCATGGTGGGGATCCTGGAGAAACATTTCTTTCCAAAATGGTTACAGGTACGTGGCCCAGACTACTGCAGAACTCAAAATTACCTCACTCTGTGGCTCTGAACTTAAGACAGCACAGGGGAGTGAAATGCATACTTGTAGTACTAGCAGGTTTTTTTTCAAAAGAGTGAATTGAATTGTTGTGAATTCAAACTGCATTTCAAATTTCAGATCAAAATAGCCAAAATGGAAAATTAAGTCAACTTAAGTCAGGTTTAGCCTAAAAAACTATTATCTTTTTTGGCTTCACTTTTCAAAAAGTGGAACTTGCGATGAGTGTCACAGTCTGTTTTCCAGTGTTCATCTGGTGAAGCTTCCATGTGTAATATTATTATATTATTTATAAAGCGCCACCAAATTCCGTAGCACTGTATTATGGGAATTCTGTACTGTTGTTTAATTGGAATTCAATAGCGTTGTATTGTAACATATTCCTCCTCACCTTCTGTGCATCTGTATAACTGACTCTTGCAACATATTGATGGACGCCGGCCTCTGCGGATCCACGCCAAATTATACACGCACGTTAATGGCGATGTCGGCGTGCGCGTGATGTCACGCAGGAGATGCTTCCACGTTTTGGGGTCAAAGGCCGTTTTCCGCCAATCAAAACTGTAAAGCACTTATTTAAGCTCAAATTTACTTTTCCTCATTGCCCTGTCGTGGTTTCCCTAGTGGTTGTCTAAGAGTGTGTTCCTGAGCATTTATTTCTGGTTTTTGACTTTGGCTTTGTTTGACTTCCTTGTATTCTGGTATCCCTGACTTCTGGCTTTCATTTATCGTTGTGTCTCATTCTGTGCCCCCGGACCTTGGATTCTGACTATTCTTTGGTATGTTAAGTCTGGCCATTCTAAGGCCCGGTAAGACGTGACCGTTTAGTCCTAGGTGTGATACAATTCTACGTGCTGTATCAATCCGTAATCTTGACACGTATAATGGGAATTTCTTAGCGATGTGCAATGGGAATTCTGTAGCGCTGTGTAATGGGAATTCCCTAGTGCTGAATAATGGTTCTTAGGGTTTCACTTTTTCTGATCTAAGCAGCCCATTCTGAAACATCTACATCTCAATCATGGACTCTGGAAATGACATATTACCATTTGCCAAATGTGTCTTTTCATTTTCAAATTTGAAATCCGAGTTCTCTCATTTATTTCAAGTGGAAAAATAAAACAGGACGGTTTGCATAATGTTTTTCTACAGTTAAATGTTTATACTTTGGTTAAAAAAAAAATGTATTTTGTGCTTAAACCGGATCATTTATTCCACTGATGATGCATGAAATATACATTTTGTCATGGCAATTTCTCCCTCAAATGCCTTACAGAATGTAAACCTATTATTATAATGTATACCTTGCTGGACTAATTCCGTTACTGCTAATTGTTCTAACCGATTGTTGTCCAAAACATTTTTAACAGTAAATATCCCTCCTAGTGGTGAAGTCGTTTGCAATAGGAAGAATGTTTTTAAACTAAAAATGGTCTTTTTTTAAAAAAATTTTTTTATATGATTTATTTAGTTTTCTTCTGGAAATTAAAGGAATTCTATAGTTGAAATGAAAACAAAGCAGTTTTCCTGGCATTATAGATTTCTACGGTGATTCTTACCTGAATCCAGAGCAATGTGTGTCGGCTCTGGGTCAGGCTCCGCTTACGCTCTGGAGGAGACCTAGGCTCGGCAGTGGCCGCGCTCGCATTAGACCTCCCCATAGGAAAGCATCAATCAATGCTTTCCTACAGGGAACAATATGATGCTGGAGGTCCTCGTGCACAAAGTGAGGATGTCCAGCATTAGATTCAGGAAGCGCCCCCAGTGGTTGTCTGGTGGACAGCCACTGTGGGCTGTGTTTTACATTGCACCACTAAGTGTAAAAGGGACCCAGCACCCAGACCGCTTCATTGAGCTGAAGTGGTCTGGGTGCCTACAGTGTCACTTTAATGCCATGTATGTTTGTTATTCTAACTGTACAATAATCTTTGGAGCTAATCATTATTTATTGTGGATTTTCACCTTTTCCCTTTTTATGGTTGTTAGAATATTTCCCACCCTCACTGTCTTTTCCCCTTCAGCCGAAATGGTCAGGTTATCTGCTGCTTCAGGGTGATGGAATCAATTCAATGAGGCTGAATAACCCTCCAAATCAGGTCAAGAACTGTAAGGGGTAACTTTAAGAAAGTGACACATGGAAGCACCAGATGACATGGCCATTAAAAAAAATTAGGCAGATTCACTTTTACACTGTCTTTACTAAACCAAGAATTATGGGGATTTGACAAGGAGGATCAGACAACCGGTTAATTCCAATTCACCTTAGAATAAAATGTGAAATGTTGGGAATTCTAAGTGAATAGAAACATTCTCCAACTTCCACAAAATGTAAAATCTACTCTGAATTCCCCGCATTTCAATCTTTAATAACTTTGTCAGAAAATAATTATAATTGGCCAGTGGGGGGCCGGTGAGCAACTACATTAAGTGCCAGGAGAGGTTCCCATCTATTGTATTTGGCATCTGGTAAGTCTGCTGTGTTTCCAGTTTGGTTGTTTTGGGCCAATATTTTAAATTCCTGACAATTCACACTTTAATGGCTAACTCTGAACGGTCTTTCCCGCATGGCTATTTGGCCTAGAATTTGCAATTGTCTTGTTAGTTTCTCACAATGTTCAGTTTAGCAAAATAAATCCTCATTAGTTAACAAAAATCCTGAATATTTTGTGAAGATTAAAAGTGTAAAGGAAATGCTGAAACTGAATTTCCTTTTCCTTTGTCGCTGTAGGTCCTGTGCTCCTGGCTCAGTAACAGTCCAAACTATGAAGAGATCACAAAGTGGTACTTGGGTTGGAAGTCCATGTTCTCAGACCAAATATTGTCCCACCCAGCAATCAAAGACAAGTTTAACGAAGCTTTGGACATCATGAACCGAGCTGTTTCTTCCAATGCTGGTAAGTGCTCTTATTACCGCTGTCATTGCAGCTTATGTATTCACCAGAGCTAAATGAATACTAAATAGAAGGGGCAACCACCATGTATAGGCATATGCATACAGATCAAACTGGAATTCAAATCTTCCTTTCCTCCTTGGTAAGTAACAGCACGGGTATTTTGAAGAATAAAATAAAAAAGAGTTGTCAGTTCACTCAAGGGAACAACGTCTGGAAAACATAATTTGTTAAACATATTGTGACAAGGACATACAGAGAAAAACATAAAACCATAAATAATACCACTGGAAGAACGGTAATGTAGATATGGGTATTAAGGGCAAAAAGAGGGGAGGGCACAAACCCAGGTGAGTAATAAATGGAGAGGAGATGATACATTTTTTGACTATTTACTGCTTTATATAGTTCTATCCCTATCAACTTTACGGACCAATTCAGGGGAAACTTTAGCATCTTTTTGTACATAGTTGTATATCCACTTTTTTTGTTTTTCACTGTATATAAATACCATATCTGTGTTTTGTGTTTAATACAATTTGACTATACACACAATTTGTGTTTTTTTTATGTTTAAATATATTGATAGCTCAACTCCATGTTGATAATTGACACCCTCAGGTCATACAATTGCATATTATCTTAGCTAAAATTGATACGTTTTTATAGAATTAGCCTCTGGCCAGGGCAATTAGCAGTTCTCTCCTCTCCCTTTTAAAACCATAAATACACTGATCAGCCACAATATTAAAACCACCTGCCTAATATCGTGTAGATCCCCCTAATGCTGCCAAAACAGCTCTGATGCGTCAAGGCATTGGTGTACATTTCAAGTCTCATTTATTGGTATTAGTACTAGTTAATTGTTTGTGGGGTTTTTTTGTTGCATTTTTGTTTTTTGCGAAAGAAATACTGGTTTTATATATACCTAATTTATTTATTTGATTCTTGAGCAAATTATTCTCTTTGCTTGGTTACATGGTGACCTTGAGGCTGTGATATTCCTGGTGGGCAAACCACTTAACATAAATAGCGAGCATAGAGATGGATTATAACTATGTTGCAGCTCCTATACAGCTCCCTCTCTACATAGTTATTGTTTACACCCAACTCCATAGGAACAACATGGGCTACCAGCACTCCATGTAGCAGCCATGTTACATGTGTAAAACTACAGTAACGGCAGCTGTTAGCAAAGAGAATTATACATTCATATGAAGTTTATTTGTCTGCAGTGGAAAAGATTCCACTCCAGATTGACCAATTAGACTGAAACTCTGTTTCTGTGTTATATGAGGGAATGTAAAGCTATATGTCTTTGTTTTGCTTCATCATTAGGTGTGTACATGCAACCAGGGGCCCGGGAGAGCATTGCTTACTTGACACATACTGAACGAAGGAAAGATTTCCAGTACGAAGCCATGCAGGAGCGCCGCGAGGCAGAGAGCATTGCACAGCGGTGCATCGGAGCTGCTGCAGCAGCTGTACCAATGAACTTCAAAGACCTAATCCAATCAAAGGCCGAGGAGCATAACATTGTGTTCATGCCACTGATCGGCAAACGCCACGAGGGGAAACAGCTCTACAATTTCAACCGTATTGTCATCTACATAGACCGAGGTGTTGTGTTTGTGCAGGGTGAAAAAACATGGGTGCCCACCTCACTGCAGAGCCTCATAGACATGGCCAAGTAGCATGATACTCCCTGCCTCTCCTGGACACTGCATACAGCGGAGATTGATCTATCTGGATGGCACAGGGTGTATTGTACAGCAGAATGAATGCAACGTGTAAAACACTTGGGTACAGTGTCAGATTCCGAAAAAAACATCTTATTAAAGCACCAATGGTGTAAGGAACAATATGCCTGGTGTTTCCCAGATTGCGTCCGGATATTGACATTATTTTGTAGTTTGATTTCATGCTCGGCCGTAACTTCCACATACGGTATTCAGCAAGACTGGACTTGATGTTCTGTGCAGAGACTGTTTTTTTTTCTCCACACCTGTTTATTTTGTACATATCCAATGTGTAATTTGTAATAATAGAGATTGATATTTTGTTTGTATTTTAAACACGATTGTTTCCTGCTTTACAGCGACAGTATTGCGTTAAAATTAACATGACCAGCCAATAGGGATTTCCACACCCCAATTTTTGTATGTAAATAATAAAAATGTGAAAGAAGAAAAACACTCGCCTCTGAGCAGGTCTTGCAATAAATGTTTGGGCTCTTTCCTTCTTTAGTGATGTGTGCCGGAAGAGGGAACAAGCCAAGTTGGCAATGTGTGAGAGTTGCAGTGTATGTGTTTGGGGGACACTGTATGTGTTTGGGGAAGTGTGTGGGGCACTGTGTATGGGGGGACGTGTGTATGGGTGTGCAGTGTATGTGTGTGGGGGGGCAATGTGTCTATGGGTGGCAGTGTTTGTGGGGCAGTGTGTGTGTATGGGCACAATGTATGTCTGGGTGTGCAGTGTGTGTGACGCAGTGTATGTATGGGGGGGCAGTGTGTGGGGGGGGAGGAGAGTAGGGGGCTTTTTAATATTTTTATTTATATAAATACATTTCTGGTGGTCCGGTGGGAATCCCTGGTGGTCCCAGTGGTGGTGAGGTGAACTCTAGCCCGCGTTCCAGGGCTAGAGTTCACTCTTGCGAGATTTGGAGTGTTGCCGTGGTAACCGCGGCAACGCTCCATGCTCGCGAGAGGAGGACCCGGAGGAGCTGAAGGCTGAGCTCCTGGGTCCTCCCTCCCCTGCCGGCTGCCGCACAGTGCTTGCGGACCGGGGAGGGAGATCTCAGATCTCTGATCTCCCTCCCCGGTCCGCAGGCACATTGCAGGGCTGGCACTTTGACAATGCCAGCCCTGCATTGGCGGGCGGGCGGGGGGGGCAATTGCCCCCCACCCTGGATCCGCCAATGATTCTGGTAGCAGCAGTAAGATGTCCGTTTGTGCATATAGATCTAAAGGGCCAGCCTAAGCCTGTTGTAGTGATTTTGGTGCTTGTAGAGTGCTGGAGCCTTCCTCCAGGTCCTGTGTCAAACAGTTTTTGAACGGTTTGACTAAAACCGTGAGTCTTTGAGGCATCTGCAGGTGAGCCATTCGCTCACTGTTTTGCTAGTGTGAAAGATTTAACTTAGTTTGTAAACTGTATAAATGTTTCCATATTTGGACGATTCTGGTAGAATGGGAGTGTCATCTTAGCAATACAGTGAATGAGGGGCTGGACTGTGAGTGCCTCAGGGATCATAAGGAACATTGCGCCTGCTATGTAAGGAGCATAGTGTCTGCTGCATGCTAGTACCATGCACACTAAAATGGGCTATAGTGGTTATGGTGGTAAGATTATTATTTTTTAAATATGTCCCATTCTGCAATTTCCTATATCAGACTTTAGAATTAATTTGTAGCCAACATTTGTATTCAAGCATTTACTATTCACCATTAAACAAATCTTAAAATCAAAAATAATGCCTTATTTGTCCATCTTTTTAGGCGAATGTAAAAATGGTACGCTAAGTGTTCTACCAAAAAGAAAACTGGTGAGATGCATTTTAGGAGTGTGATCTTATAATTGTATTAATCTCCTATAATTTTCTGCTATACCAAGATGGGCTGTGCATGATGGGACCTGTAGTCCAGTTTCAGTTGGAATACCTTGACTGTCCAAAGATGATTTTTCCAGTTTATATACTAATCCAGCGGTTCCCAAAGTGTGTGCCGCGGCACCCTGGGGCGCCACATAATATTTCCCTGGTGCTATGATCCGGGAACTGTGCCTCACTCTCCCCTGTCAGCTCTGCAGGACCGGAGGGGAGATCAGGGATCTCCCTCACTGGCCTGCTAGCACTGTAATGCTGGCAGCCGGCAGGGGAGGAGTGAGGATCCGGGGGAGCTCTAACTTGCAGCTCTGCCGTGTCCTCCTCTAGCGAGCTTGGAGCGTTGCATCAGGAGTTGCTAGAGTTCATTCTGACCACTGGAACCACCAGGGCTTCTCCACCAGACCACCAAGAATTAGTACTGTACCCCCACCCAGGCAAAAATAAGAAGGGAAGGGGGTGATGGAAATGTAAAAAAAAAAAAATTATTAAAAAATAAAAGTTTACATTTATTAATTTCCCACCTATACACACACACAGTTCCCCACACACTGTACCTGTCACACACACACTCTCTCTCTCTCTTATATACACACACACACACACACTCTCTCTCGCTCTCCTGCCCGTATCCCCTACTACTATAGTGGTTCCCAACCCAGTCCTCAAGTACCCCCTATCAGTCCAGGATTTAGGGATTACCCTGTTGTGTCTAAAGTGTTTTTTTTCTCCTTTTTCTAAAAACACCGTAGATACAACAGAGTCATTCCTAAAATTCTGGACTGGTAGTGGGTACTTGAGGACTGGGTTGGGAACCACTATAGTAGGGGATAGGGGCAATAGTGTGTGTGTGTTTGTGAAGGGTGCAGTGTGTTGGGCACTGTGTGTGTGTATAGGTGGGAAATGAAAAAATATAAACTTTTATTTTTTTCATTGAATTTTTTTTTTTACATTTCCATCACCCCCTTCCCTTCTTGTTTTTGCCTGGGAGGGGGGACAGTACTAATTCTTGGTGGTCCTGTGGAGAAGCCCTGGTGGTCCCAGCGGTCAGAGTGAACTCTAGCAGCTCCTGATGCAACGCTCCGAACTCGCTAGAGGAGGACAGCCGCTATCCTGGCAGACCCCAGAATTAGTTGTCAAACTGTTCTTAAACAGTTTGACTACTTTTCCTGGGAGGGCACCACGCATTTCTGCTGAACAGGGGCCCAGTATATGCCGCAGCGCTGCATATTTATTCAATCTAGAATTTATTTTAACTTTGGGCCCCCAGGAAAAATATTGAAATATTAAGGGCGCCTTGAACCTAATAAGTTTGGGAACCACTGTACTAATCTATAACAATGATTAGCCAACAATGAAAATTCCAACTGTTGCGGAGTGCCATGATTTTTTTTGCCATTCCAAAGTCTTACTTACTGGCTATATCAGAGTGTGATAGGACAGGGATACAATCAGACAGTTTTGCTAGCAAATGTATAGATTTGGAGAAAAACCTATTTAAAATCTGTTGCTCAATTCCTCAGCAGATATTCAAAGCCAAGGAACCGAGAGCCAGGGAGAACAGAGGAGACCTTTCACAGGGTGTCCCTCTGCTCTCCACCCATAGCAACCACAGCACATGCGCTGTGGTTTATATGGTAGAGTATAGGAACAGAGTGACATCACATCACTACATTTAGAAGATGAAGGCACACGGTCAACTAAGCCAGAGTGTTGTGTCATGGAGGAGGCTTGCCCTGGTTTGGGGAAGTGTCCAAGTGGGCCAAGTTCTGCCTCTCTGCTATTTCCAACTGAATGGCTGCTCACTTCCTTAAACTCAACCTGTCCAAAACAGAACTTCTAGTTTTTCCTCCCTCAAGTGCTGCTACTCCTGTGTCTGTCGCCATCCAAGTCAACGGCGCTACTATCACCTCTACCTCCCAGGCTCGCTGCCTAGGGGTTCTTTTTGATTCTGATCTCTCTTTTACTCCCCATGTTCAATCGATAGCCAAATCCTGTCGCTTCCAACTCAAGAACATAGCGCGCATCCGCCCATATCTAACGCCGGACGCGGCTAAGGTACTGGTTCATGCTGTTGTTCTCTCTCGCCTTGACTATTGCAATCCCCTTCTCACCGGTCTTACATGTTCCCAGCTTGCACCGCTGCAATCTATAATGAATACGGCTGCGAGGCTTATTTTCCTGTCCGGTCGCACCTCCCACGCCTCCACGCTCTGTCAGTCCCTGCATTGGCTTCCAGTTAGATATAGGGCCCAATTCAAAATTCTGGCGCTTGCTTACAAATCCCTACATAATGCTGCTCCAACATACCTATCCTCCCTCATACACAAGTATGTCCCGTCGAGACCCCTGCGCTCAGCCCAAGACCTACTCCTATCCTCTGCCCGGATCCCCACCTCTGATGCTCGCCTTCAAGACTTCTCCAGGGCTGCACCTATTCTGTGGAACTCCCTTCCCTCCTCAATCAGACTTTCACCCAGCCTCCATTCCTTCAAAAAATCTTTGAAAACTCACTTCTTTATTAAAGCGTATCAATTAAACTGTCAGCAGGTTTCTCATCCCCCACCCCATGACTCCGTTCCTTCACCTGTCAAAAATGACCTACCAAGCACTCAATAAACCCTTCTGTAACAAACTATTTAATTCCCCTACTTTAACCCTTTGTGTCACTATACCCCACTCCCTCTAGCATGTAAGCTCATCGAGCAGGGCCCTCAACCCCCTCTGTTCCTGTACGTCAGTGGTTTGATCTCAATTATGTGTCTGTTAGTCCACCCATTGTACAGCGCTACGGAATTTGTTGGCGCTATATAAATAATAAATTAATAATAATAATAATAAAACCATGGCAGTTTCCCTTTAAATGAATGTCTGATTTTGCTTGTAATGCCAATAATTGCTCACTAGATGGCAATATTTTCTTATGGTAGTTAGCAGCATGTGGACACATCTTTGAGAGGGTTACAGGTAAGCAAGATTTTCAAAGTCTGCTGGTTTTACCTTACATTTTAAAGTCACTTTGAACTATTAAATAAACCTTCATGTCTTTTGAGGGACAACCTCCCCACTAATTAATTAAGGCCTGAAAATTAGAATTGACAACCAGATTACAAAGAATAGATGATAAACTCTCCAGCTGAGCTATACTCACAGCTTGGCTATTTTAATTAGAATTTTCCAATTTTGTTTGTTAAATTGCTGTTTTGTTTTTTATAAATTTACATTTCATTAAACGGAATCATGGTAGTTGTAGTCTTTGCGGGAGAGAGTGCCAGGCTATTGCAATCCTGATACAGTAGTGTGGCCCTTGTTTAACCCCTTAAGGACCAAACTTTGGAATAAAAGGGAATCATGACATGTCACACATGTCATGTGTCCTTAAGGGGTTAAGAGGCTAAGCTTTTTGACTGGAGGGTTTTCTCAGTGAGTTGTATAAAGGTAAATACAATCTATAAATAAAATATAAAATTACTAATTTGATTATTTTGGACTTAGGTTTACAAGAAGGCAGTGATCTCTGTTGGCGCTATGCACTAAGCTGTGAATTACACTTCAGCTATTTTGTACTGAAATTAGAATTCTCAACTATTCGCAGTTTTGTGTATAACTCTGTGTGTGTGTGTGTGTGTGTGTGTGAATAGATGCACATTCAGAGTTATTTATCCATCAGCAGACTGTTAAATTTAAAAATAAATTTCTCCAACTCTGTTTAAAGGACAGCTGTCATTAAATTTTCACTCCTCGTTTCTTGAAATATTTTTTACATTTAATGAAATTTAATTTTTATTTTAAATTATTTATACTGATTTGCTTTTTTTTATTTATTTTTTTATTTTATTTTTTATTTAGAGATTATCACTGCTGCACAGCCTAACTTGTCTGCTTCATGCGATTGTTCTATGTGGAACTGCAGCTGTTGGCTAGTTAGGTTGAGCAGCAGTTAGCCAGATAAGCGTAAAATATAACCCAACACCGAGATCGACCAGATAAACGTGACCTTTTTTTTTTTTTTTTTTTTTTTAAATATAAACTGAAAATGTGTCCGTTGTCCTTTAAATCTTGACTATTTTGATCTAAATTTTGCAATTCCTCATTAAATGCTCTACTATTCCCAGTATAAGAAGACTTATTTGATGATAATCTTTCAATTAGACATAACATAGTTTGTTAGACTATGTATAGCGTAACATAACATACTTCATGATAGACTCTACATATAGAATAAGTTAACATGTTAGATTGTATCAGTTGTTTAAAGAACATAACTCACTGGCGGACTTACAAAATGTGAATTATTATTTTTTTATGTCCTATTTTTTAAAGACATAATAAAACAGAGAATTTTTCCATCCTACTATATAGGAAATACCAGTGAACTGTATGTTATGGGAACATAATGCCATAGAGGGATTCTGCTTTATAATAACCCATGCTACTCCATATATATATTTTGTTATTTTAAGTTGGGTATTGTGTAGCATAGGGTTAATGTTTTGTGTAAGAGTTAAAGGGACATTTTACCGTAAGTGCCATTCTAGTACCTACATATCTAGTGCTGCCAGGGATTAGTGGGAGTTGCAGTCCCAGGTGAAAGTTATTTTAAATAACGGGCAGATCATATAATAAATATATATTTTGTTCGGTAAATCAACTCAGGTTCGAGTATCCATTTAAAATAGACAAATTCAATAAGGGGATTTACTAACAAGGTGAGATAAGAATGTCACACGTTTATAAATATATGTGACATGACAGCTGTCAAACCAAACCATGGAGGTCTCTCCCAGATTTGTAATATCCCTGACCTTGCCATGTCGCCATGATGTAGAACCTTGCGTGAAAG